CACTTCTGTGTGCGTATGTTTTCATTTCTCTTTAGGTATATACCTAGAAGATAAATGATTGGGTCATACAATAATTCTGTGTTTAACTTTTTTTTTATTTTTTTAAGAATAGTTATTGATTTTTAGAGAGAGAGAAAGGGAGAGGGAGAGAGAGAAACATCATGTGAGAACATAACATTGAGCCGGCTGTCCAGCATACCCCTGCCCAGAAATCCAGCCAGTAACCTTTCAGTGCATAGGACTATGCCCACCCAACTGAGCCGCCAGCCAGAGCACTCATTTAACTTCCAGATTGGCTGCACCTTGCCTTCCCAGTAGTGTATGAGGGTTTCAGTTTCTCCACATCCTGGTCAGCACTTATCTTTTTTATTTTAGCTATCCTGGTGGGTGTGAAGTGTTATCTCATTGAGATAATGATTTGCATTTCTCAGATGATTATCTTTTTATGTGCTCCTTTCTGGTATTTGCTCCTCTGTTGGTTCTTCAGTGCTTTATGGGAGGCTATTTTTGTTCAATATTTCACTTTATTTCTTGTAATGACTCTGTGTGTGATTCTAGGGCTAGCAGCATGCATCTCTAAATCCAGAAGCTATTCACAATTCTTATTGTACTCCTTCACACCTTACACTGGACACTATACATAGACTTCCCAAGTCCTATAACAGTGTTTGTGATCCCGGTCTGACTTCTGTTAAAAAGAGCCCTTTGTCTTTTTAAAAATGATTACATGTTGATTTCTAGTTGACATATAATCCTTTTCTTTGTTTCCCAACATAAACAGTAATAAGTACATGGGAAATCTACGTTATGTTCGTATTTCCCTGATGTGTTTTGTATCTTAATCACATTTACTTAAATTTGAAGCTGTTGTGATTTTTATTTATTTATTTTTTTATCCTCACCCGAGGACATTTTTCCATTTTTTGTTCAGGTAGAGTGGGAGGGAGAGAGAGGAACAGAGAGAGAGAGAGAAACATCGACGTGAAAGGAACACATCGAGTGGCTGCCACCCGCACGACCGACCAGGTCCGGGGACAAACTGCAACCGAGATACGTGCCCTTAGTGGGAACCGAACCCGGGTCTCTGGATCGCAGGCCGATGAGCCAAACCGGCCAGGGCGAAGCTGTTGTGATTTTTTACTTACCCTACCAATCATGTTGATTTCAGGGTGTGTTGGATATGGCAACCACTATACAGCCCTAGAGAAGATACCTTATTTAAATTATTTTGACCTGGGTCTTTCTATGATGCTTAAGAATAAGCATTTTATCAGGTATTCTTATAAAGCCTTTTACTTGTTGCTTCACTTGGAACAAGAATCTTTGTCTCAGGCCAGCACTCATATTAAATGTGGCCTAACTGTGCATACACATATTTCATTTGCTTCACAAATAGCTGTAGCAAATGGGAGACTTTTTATTTGGTTTCATTGTGCTTAACCTATGATGCCATGCCTTAATTGGTTCCTTGCAAGTAGACTATGATTTTCTAAAACAGGTTTCAGAAATTAAAATTTGCTGTCCTGCATAGTCAAGAGTTCTTCTAGGGCCAGCCACCTGAGACTTGTGTTAACATACTTGATTCAGGTCAGGCCTCTTTGTCAGCATTGGTCTCAATGATAGAAGCATATTCTTGTCTGCAGCAAACTGAGGAAATCTCTGCGGGGTTTCTAAGCAATGTCCAGCTCTGGGAGTGTGGAAAGGTGGTTCATTCTCATTCATGTTTTCTTACTGTTATAGGGAATGGGGGAATAATTAATAGCTTTTCATTTAAAAGCATTTGGAACATTTTTCAGACAAGAAAGAAAGTAAACCTGGTTGTGCTCATAACTTCCAATTGGTTTGATCTTTTTGTTACCATGTTCTGTTGAAGCGTTTCATTAAAATTCTGAATAATTTCAGCCCTGGCAGGTTTGGCTCAGCGGTTAGAGCGTCAGCCTGCAGTCCAGAGAGACCCGGGTTTGGTTCCCACTAAGGGCACGTACCTCGGTTGCAGTTTGTTCCCCAGGCCCTGGTTGGGTTGTGCGGGTGGCAGCCACTCCATGTGTCCCTTTCACGTCAATGTTTCTCTCTCTCTCTTCCTCTCTCTCCCTCCCACTCTGTCTGAACAAAAAATGGAAAAATGTCCTCAGGTGAGGATAAAAAAAAAAAATTCTGAATTTCAGAGAGATGACAAACATCGAAGTCGTCATAATGAAAGACTTTCACTGAAGTGAATGGATGAGTGAGTGTTTCAGGCAGTCTCCATGCTAGGACTACTGCCATGACCTGTGTGGCTCAGTGGTTGGAGTGTCAGCCTGCAGACTGAAGGTCACGGGTCTGATTCCTAGTCAAGGGCACTTACCTGGGTCACGGGTTCCATCCTCGGCCCTGATTGGGGTCGTGAGGGAGGGAGTGATCAGTGTGTCTCTCTTGTATCCATGTTTCTCTCCCTCCCTCCCTCCCTCCCTCTCTGTCTATAGAAATCAATGGAAAAATATCCTCAGATATTTTTTGCCTAACAAAAACAATAAATGAAAACTCTAGAACTGCAGTCTGAGAAGTTCTAAAAAATATACCCATTTTTAGCAGTGGTATATTACCCATTTTTAGCAGCATCGTACCACTGCACTCTTCTTCCTCTAGGTGGCAGGAGCGAGAGTGGGGCAGAGCTGTGTGTGCAGGGCCTCATCAGGCCCTCAGAGTTTATGTTCATGGAAGATGAACCACTGCTGAGAAAGTATTCGCCTGGGTTTTGGCTTTCTGAAGTCTTTTTGTTTTAAATATCCTTGGTCAGTTGGTTGGGTGTCATCCAGTGCTCCAAAAGGTCGCAGTCAGGGTACAGGTCCCGGTTTCTGGCTGGATCCCTCTGGGGGGTATGCAGGAAACAGATGATCAGTGTTTCTCTCTCTCTCCTCTCTCTAAAATCAGTAAAAATAGTTTTTTAAGTTGTTTTTTTTCCTTGAATTTCAGATGTTTTAAAGAAAGGAATATAGATTTATATGAGAAGGTATATTTATATACAAGGAAAATGAATTATCTTCCATCGTAATCCATCAAGTATCTCGTGGTAAGGTCGTATGGAGATGCCAAGAAAACTGTCAGTGGAAGTGATATACTGAGTAGGATAACAGCACTATTGAGAAGGAATCTCCAACATGTGATTATTTGAGACAGGTAGGGGCTTCCAGGCAGACCGTAGGGCAGAGAGCCCCACTGTGCACTTGCAGGGCTTGTTGAGTGGACTTGCTTGTGCCTCCATTCCTCACACTGCAGTGAGAGAGCTCTCCCTAGCCGGGCCCAGCCTGCCTCCTGCCACAGCCTCCAGCGACGCGACCATTCCGCTCGAATGGTGTCAGTGTCATAGGTTCCACATTTTATTTTACTGCGGGAAAAACATGCCTTGTTGTTTGGGGCACCTGGTGTACATTAGAAATTCTAGAAAGTATGTGGTAGGTGAAGGGATTTATTACCAAAGACAGATTGTCATCTTCATACTTCTTGCTACCAAAAACCAATTTTTAAAGCACACCTGTTTTATTTTCAAATTCATCATTGCCACACTGTCTGCTTTTTTCCACCAGTGTGAACTGTTCTTTGTCCAGCTCCTCCCTCCTGGAGGGGCAGCACCAGCTTCACAGGCAGTGGAGAGGAAGCCAGTCCAAGCCCACCAGGCTCCAGCAGCTGTTCACACGCAGTGCTCGTGCTGTGCGTGTGAGCCATGATGCTGGGAGGCTTGTGCTGCATTGTGATAAGCTAACACATCCGCTTTTTCCATAGGTTAAGGAAAATGTTTAATTTCTTATTTCCCTAAGGCCCTTTACTTTTTTCCTCATGAAAATTACCTCTGACTTTTCTACCAGTGTAACTATAGATTACACGTCAACACGGCAGCATGCCTTTTTAAAAAATTATATTGACAGCCCAGCCGGTGTGGCTTAGTGGTTGAGCATCGATCCATGCACCAAGAGGCCACCGGTTCAATTCCCAGTCAGGGCACATGGAGTAACTCCTGTGGGGGGTGTGCAGGAGGCAGCCAGTTGATGTTCTCTTTCATCAATGTTTTTATCTCTCTCTCTCCCTCTTCCTCCCTCTTGCTCTAAAATCAATAAAGAAAAATTATATAAAAATTGACATAATTCTTTAAATTTTTTAAATATGTTTTTTATTAATTTGAGAGAGAGGAAACACACCCCCTGCTGGGGATAGAGCCTGCAACCCAGGCCATGTGCCCTGACAGGGAATTGAACCAGCGACCTTTTGGTGCATGGGATGACGCCCAACCAACTGAGCCACACCGGCCAGGGCTGACATACAGTTCTTGTAAGACATCTTTGCTTAGTGAGAAAAAAAGTTTTAAGGCAAGCATTAGATAACATTATATCCAGATTCATTAATTGGGGTTTAGAATAACCATCTAACAATTAAACACTTTATTATTTACAAGGCACATTTTAGGTCCTCATCAAATCCAGTTGTATAATTGCCGATCAAACTCTAACCAAAAAAAATGTAAGTTGCTATGAAACTGTCTTAAATGTTTCCTATAGTTTTTCTAAACTATTTTCAAAATTTAGAATATAGTACTTAGTAATATGCCCTAAAATTTTAAATTTATGTATAATAGAATATAAAATTTTTTGAGTTTCTTTTTGTTTGCCATCTAAGTCACGGACCTGATTTGAAGTGAAGAACCATCCACACTGTGGTCTCTTTAATTTTATGAGCCTCCGTTTCACAGTTTACCATCGATTAGTGGAACTTTTACATATTTCACCAGAATGTGCTATTAGTGGTTTAAAGTAAAACAACCTCTTCTGTGAGAAACTTTTAATTTATTTATCTTTGGGACTTGGCAATTTGAGGTCCACGTAGACAGTGTAGTGACGTGTGGCTTCAGTAAGGGCTGCCAGGCCCCCTTTGTCGCTGCCTTTTTGTGTTTGCTGCCTGGGGTTTGTCAGGCCGCCTGCCAGCTCTCCCCCGTGTGAAGTGTTCTGTGTTCTTGTTGGCCGTGCGGCTAGGTCCCAGACGTTCCACAGCTACCTGGAGGACATCATAAACTACCGCTGGGAGCTGGAGGAAGGGAAGCCCAACCCTCTGCGAGAGGCCAGTTTCCAGGACCTGCCCCTGCGCACGCGCGTGGAGATCCTACACCGCCTCTGTGACTACCGGCTGGATGCAGATGACGTCTTCGATCTTCTCAAGGTGCTTCACTGGCGAGCTCTTCCCCTGGAGCAGCGATTTTCAACCTTTTCCATTTCATGGCACACTAAAATTTTGCGACACACCAAAACATACATATTTTTTGCCGATCTGACAAAAAACATAGGTATAATTTTGATAAATTCATACTGGATGGTTATTGTTAGCTGTTGTCATTTTTTAATTAGACAGCTTAAGGGAAAAGAGGTCAGTGCCCCTGACTACATAGGTACTGCCTGCTTTAAAGTTCTTGCAGCACCCTGGTTGAAGATTGCTGCTCTAGAGAGAAACAAAACAGCAATCCAAGATGTAAAGTCTAAACATACTAAGAGAAGCTAGAGTTTGGCTTGTGTTACTAGTCTGGGGACTCATAATTGACGGGAACAGTGTCTATAAAACATGACCTCTGTAGCCAAGGGGTTTCAAGCCATCCACTTACATGACTGTGTTATTTTGGTTTAATTTTTAGTTTGGTTTTATCTTTACATGTTCTGAGTTGCAGATGATACAGGAGAACTATCAGAGGCACCTATTTATTCTTTCTGTCATCAGTCAGATTGCAACTAAATTAGCCACTGAATTTGTTTCCTAAGGTCTGAAATTTGAGTTAACATAATGGACATATTTATTGAAAACTCTGCAGACTTTAACCCATTTATGCACGTGAAGTTCATCCTTGCTCTGCACACTGGAGAAGGGGGCAAGCTCCTCGCTCCCTCCCTCCTGCTGTCTGCTTAGCCTGTCTCCGAGGGAGGGTGTAGGCTGCTGCTTTTCACTCACAGGAAGGTCAGTTTCTAATCCTGTCCAGTCAGAAATAGTTGAATGTGTTGATGACTCCTCAGTTCAGCCCTATTCGTAGACATGGCATAAAATCACAGTGCAATATATTTAGCACAGTCTTGACTGACAACTCGGGGACTTTCATAGCAGTGGGAAGGCCGATCCAGGTGAGACCCTGGGGTGGGGCGGGAGCTGTGTTGCTGGGTCTCAGCTGGAATGACAGGTTGCTGCTGTCGCTTGTGCCGGAGCTGCCGCAGAGGGCCGTGTGAGACAGCCTCTTAGCAGCAGGCCCTGCTCCGCTGTGATGGTCTTTCTTTCATGGAGTCAGTCCTGCCCAGTATACAGTGCGTTTTCAAACCCCTTTGATCTCTCTGCTTGGTGGAATGGGAGCAGTGATGGGCTGGGAACCATTCTGGGTGTGTTTCATATGCCTTGATTAAAAATTACTTATGGTACCTGGGTGTTTGTAAATGTGAGGTATATCTGAGTGTAAATGTTGAATCCTCATTTTAGTTTTCTCCTGTTTTGTTTTCCATTTTCCCAAACCTCTTTCCCCTATTCTTCGACCCTAGGGTCTAGATGCAGACAGTCTCCGCGTGGAGCCATTAGGTGAAGATAATTCTGGGGCACTATATTGGTATTTCTATGGAACTCGAATGTACAAGGAGGACCCAATACAAGGAAAAGCCAACAGAGAACTCTCTTTGAGCAGGTACGTTGTTTAAGGTCAGAGCTGGGGTGGCTACTGTACAGAAATGTCATTGAAACTAAATGCATCAGCAGGACAGTTTTTCTTTATTAAGGAATTAGCTATAACAGCACACCTGCAAAGAAATGGAAAGGAGTTCTTTCATACAAAGATAACAAGGAAGTGAACAGTAGCCTGTGATACAGACGAAGAAAGCAGTGCGGCTTTGCCGCCGGTTTCCGAGGAGCACACTCCTCGCCGAGACTGCTGTGCAGCAGCTGCTCCTAGCAGTGCTCACCACTGCCAGCGCCCCTTTCACGCTCAGGTCTGGAGAACCGCTTTTCCTACGATAACTGATGGCTTGCTCCACCAGTGTGGGACCAGAAGGACCTTGAAGAAGGCTGAGCCATGGCCTCCCTGACCGCTCGTAAATGAGAAGAGCCCTTTCCGCAACATTTTCTTGATGCTGCCATCATGCTTCATGTAGATTTTCTTACTGCTGGGAACATTGCTTACTGGGAAAGTGTTAGGTCTTACTCAGAGTTTAATATTGCAAATGTTGGTTTTCTTGGTTTGACATCCTAATAATGGAAGACAGGAAGTCATTCTGCTCTTTCCCTGGGACTGCTGCCTGTAATCCTTTTCAGCAGCCTCATGACCAGAAAAGCTACACTTACCATATGTCAGTACTATGACAGAACATTTCTGTTCGATGTGCTGTTTCTTAGGGAAAGTGACGGACAAAAAAATGTCTCAGGTGTTCCTGGGAAAACAGGAAAAAGGAGAGGAAGACCCCCCAAACGGAAGAAACTGCAGGAGGAGATTGTAGTGAGGTAAGACACTCTTGTTAGTCTGTGGTGGTCATGAATCCTCTTGCCAAAAGGAACCTTGTTTTCACTTGTTCCTTCCTCCTCAATTTTTATTTGTGCCATGGGAAGGACACGGGACTTACATTGTGGAGACCTGGGTCGACATGCTCATGAAAGTACCTACGTGCACTAGGAAGTCAGGAAGCCCTGGCTGCGTGACCTCTAGCAAGTCACCGGCTCTCTCTCTGAGCCTGTTGGACAGTGGACGTGCAGTAGGAATGATGACGAGCTTGAACAACACAATGAATAGGACAGTGTAACAGACTGAAAACTGTGTGTGTGCTCACTCAATACATACTCACTTTTTCTTAAAATATGTTTTTATTTATTTATTTATTTATTTATTTATTTATTTATTTAGAGGGGAAGGGAGAGAGAAATAGAAACATCAATCAGTAGCCTCCTGCACACATCCCACTGGGAATCGAGCCCACAGCCCGGGCATGTGCCCTTCCGGGAATTGAACCAGGACCTCTTGGTCCATGGGACGATGCTCAGCTCAGTCCACTGAGCCACACCAGCCAGGCAGTGTGCCTATTTTTTAACATATGCATTTGGAAAACCTATTTTATTATATAATGAACTTTCAGCTTTAATGGACACCCCCACCCCTGAATTAGTCCCTTGTATCGAGGTTTTACTGTACAAAATCATTTTAACAAGTGTACCTGGACTTGTGCTGCCCTCTGTTGGAGATTTTATTCTTTAGAGCTCTATATTCAATACAGTATTTAAATTCAGTTCCTCAGTCACACCGGCCAGATTTCAAGTGCTCTGTGGCCACAGGTGGCTCATGGCTACCTTACTGGACAGCAACAATGTGTAGCACATGTTCATTCTCACAGAAAGTTCTGTGGAGTGATGTGTCTGGTATGATGCGGGGTGGAGTGACAATGATCCCGAATACTCAAGCTGAGCACTTTTGTATTTTACCATTTAATGCCCAACATCCTTGTGAGGTGGGCATCATTAGTGGCGCCATTTTATGGGTGTATCAATTAACTTTCCCAGGGTCATGTTAAATGGCAAGCCTTGTTCTACGTTACATGAGGTTAAATTTAAATTTAGGGCTGGCAAAAGTAGGGTTCCAGTTGTGAGTATGTGAAACAATTTATTTTTGCATTATTTATTTATTGTGTTATTTGTTTGTATCACCATTGTAAACCTGCCTTTGCCCACCCCTGTATGCCTTATCTCCAGTGTAGCTCTGAATCGGGAAGAGGGCATCGGTATCTTTATGGTTATTTTTTTCTTGACATTTAACTGTTAACACTTAACTCCTCTGATTTTTTCGTTAATGTTTTAAGAGTTAATATTTTTCTATGATTGATATTACCATAACAGTGGGTTCCTATATGTCATTTTTTCTAACCTTACTCTCTTGACACACACACACCCACACTCACTCAGTTGGGCCTACGTTACGGGGAAACGACAGTTTTGCACATGTCTTTGTTTTTAGTGTTAATCTCTTTTTCCTGTGTTTCAGTGAAAAGCAGCAGGAAGAAAACTACTTGGCATCTGAGCCACAGACAAGAAATGGTAATGACCTCTGCTTGAGTTTTTAGAAAGGATTAAATAATGTGATTGACTCGTATTATGGTGGAGACTGTTTTGCAGAGTCTTACAGAGCAGTGCGGATCATTGCAGCCCCGTCTGACTGGCCTTCTTGCCTTAGTTTTGTCTCCTTGCGCTCGATTCTTGCCGTCTCTCCTGACACACAGCTTTAAATCAGGAGTAGTTCTTTCACCTTTGCTCAGTTGCCTGGCCACAGTGTAATAGACACCCAAACATTTGGATGAATGAGCAACTTCTGAAAGAGCTATCTTTTTCATGTAAAATGCTTTACTACATAAGAGAGTATACTGGTTTCCTATTCAGATTTCAGTTCTATAATCCAAATTGCATTATTTTGGGGGGGAATATCAATTTAACAATCTTATCTCAGTGTCTATGAAACAAAGAAGACTGTGCAGAAGGTAAAATCAAACTGATTTGAATATGGGAGTAAATACATTTAAGCATTTCTAGTATATTCACATCTATTTTATGAAAGTCACAAAAGTTATATTCATACTGTCTTTGGTCAATGTTCACTTTTACTGTGAACAGTGATAGTAACAGGAAAATAAAAAGTATACACTATGGCTCGGCCGGTGTGGCTCAGTGGATTAAGCACTGTCCCATGGACTTCGAGGTCCCATTTCGATTTCCAGTCAGGACACATGACTGAGTTGTGGACTCCATTCCCAATAGGGGACGTGCAGGAGGCAGCTGATTGATGTTTCTTTCTCACATCAATGTTTCTCTTTCTCTCTCTCTCTCTCTCTCTCTCTCTCTCTCTCTCACAATACACAACCAACCTTAAAATTAAAAAGTAGTCAGTCTGGCCCTGGCCAGTTTGGCTCAGCAGTTGGAGCATCAGCCCATGGATTGAGGGATCCCAGGTTCAATTCCTAGTCAAGGGTAACGTACCTGGGTTGCAGGTTTCATCCCCGGCCCTTGTGGGGGTCTTGCAGAAGGGGGCCAGTTGATGTGTCTTCTCTCACATTGATGTTTCTCCCTTCCACTCTATCTAAAAAGTAATGGAAAAATATCCTCGGATGAGAATTAAGAAAAAAAAAAAAGTAATAGTCTGTTTTTCTTATTCTCTGGTTTTGTTCATGACCTAGAGTAAAAATGAAATTGAGAATAAATAGGGAAAAGGTCCTAATAGGATCTATTTAATGAACCCATCCCTTTCTTCTCCAGGATCCCAAGGGCCAGGTCAAGGCACTTGGTGGCTCCTGTGCCAAACAGAAGAAGAATGGAGACAGGTCACGGAGAGTTTCCGGGAGAGGACTTCGCTTCGAGAGCGGCAGCTCTATAAGCTACTCAGTGAGGACTTCCTGCCTGAGATCTGCAACATGATTGCCCAGAAGGTGTGCGAAGGGGGACTGCCCCTCTGTGTTAGCCGTAAAACTGTTATTTAAGAGTTAGTCCCGCCCTGGCCAGTTTGGCTCAGCGGTTGGAGCGTCGGCCTGTGGTCCAGAGAGACACAAGTTTGGTTCCCGCTAAGGGCACGTACCTTGGTTGGGATTTGTCCCTGGCCCTGGTTGGGTCGTGTGTGTGGCAGCCACTCGATGTGTCCCTTTCATGTCGATGTTTCTCTCTCTCTTTCTCTTCCTCTCCCTCCCTTCCACTCTATCTGAACAAAAAATGGAAAAATGTCCTCAGGGGAGGATAAAAAAATTTTTTAAAAGAGTCACTGGAGTTTTCAATGCATTCCACTGTCTACTAGAAATGCTGTGACCTTCATCCTCTGTCATCTGGAGTATTAAAATGGGATTTCGTGTCACTCATGGGCCTTCACTCTGGGCCACATAATTTAACTCTCCTTATGCAAGAAGTCCTCAGCTGCCCCCCTCCCCCCCATACCCCAATACTTACAGTGGTTTCTCACAGTCTGGTACTAGCTTTCCTTCTCCCGTAATAGGCCTCAGGAAGCCTTCCCTTAGCCCTTGGGTATGTCCGAGCCCTAGGTATGCCTCTCTGTATATGCTTTTCCCACCATCCTCTTGTTGGTCGTCTCTCTCCCACTGAGCAGCAAGCCCCAGCCAGTGTTTGTCTCTGCAGCTCCAGGGCCAGCTCTTCCCCGCTCACCTGAGCTCTGTGCCCTCTTCTCCAGCTTCAGGGCCGTCGTTTCTTAGCAGCTGTCCCGTGCTTTTGTGTGTACATCCTGGTCTGTGACTTTTCCAGCATCTTCCCCCTCTGCTTCCCTATCTATTCAAATATCTGTCTCTCAAAAACTCCACTTAAAAGTTGTTAATCCCACAAGCTGTACCTTAGTTCTAGGAGTGTCCTCCCTGATACAGGGGCTTATCTCTTATTTAATTCCATTGTGAATTAAAGCTGCTTTAGAGTGGGGACCATGCCTTACCCATCAGTTCAACCCCCGAAGCACCCAGTATAAGGCCGTTCCTGTGGGGGATGCTCAGCTGTGGTTACTTCGCTTGTTTCATTTCCGTCACTCTAATATGTGTTCATAGAGAACAGAAAATTTTACTATCTGCCAATGAAATCTGAAGAGAGTATTTATATACTATTGCTGCAGTATCACCAGGGAAATGCAAAATGACAAGTATAGAATGTAATTTTTTGTGACGTTAATACTATTTCTAACCCTTAAGCAGATTGATGCTCTAGGGAAAATTCTAGAAAGTTACCTTTTACTAATAGTAGGAGCTTATAGTTTCTCAAGAATTACAATCTTACGGATGAGCAAAAGAATCTGCACTTCGCCATCAATATACTTAATTCCATATACTATAATTACACTTAGTTTTTGTGATCTGCAACTCACAATTTTTTTCAAGAAGTGAAATACATAGTCTAATTTCCTTAAAGTAGTTACAGAGCAGCGATAGTTTCATAACTTTATATGACCTTGAATGTCACTTTATTGATATGGCTAATGGTCGTACATTAAATCCTCTATAAATTATATACCTAATTAGCTTTTATAATTTCTATTTTTTTTACTGTAATATTCAACCTAGGATTTGGAGGGGATTGGAATAGAGGACCTAAGGAAAAAAATGTACAAGCATAAAACTGGTGGTTTGATACAGAAATTTTTAAGAGCTGATTCTTTACAAGAGAAGAAAAAAAATTAAAATAAGTATAATTCTTAAAAACCATGAAATTAGAAACCAAAAGAAATAATAGATTTGCTATTTTAAACATTTATAGGATTCTAAATTTGCAAACTTAAGTGAAATGGAATGTCAGTTACAAAAATAAGAGATTCTAATCTGTGCAATAAAAAATCTTAGAAGACCGCCCTGGCTGGTTTGGCTCAGCGGTTAGAGTGTTAGCCTGCGGTCCAGAGAGACTCGGGTTCGGTTTCACTAGGGGCATGTACCTCGGTTGCAGTTTGTCCCCAGCCCTGGTTGGGTCCTGCGGGTGGCAGCCACTTGATGTGTCCCTTTCACGTTGATGTTTCTCTCTCTTTTCCTCTCTCTCCCTCCCACTCTTTCTGAACAAAAAATGGGAAAATGTCCTTGGGTGAGGATTTAAAAAAAAGAAAAGAAAAGAAATCTTAGCAGACCCACTAATTAGGGAAGAGGTGTTTTCACAAAAGAATTTCATCAAATGCTCCAGAATCATGTGGATTATTCATAGGTACAATTGTCTAAACCTTCAAGAAAAGATAATTTCCAAACATTTCAAAAATGAAGAAGGAAATGGGTAGGTACCCTCTTGGTTCAGCTATAAATACCTTAGATCCCTGTTCCTGATAAATCTAACTACACTCTTCATTTAGTAATATAAATGTTAAGTCTTTAATACCAACAAGTAAAAACCATCTCTTCACCAAAAAATAATACATTGTAATCCTTCAGGTTAAGCCTAAATTTGTAATACAGATATTAATCGTCTTATAAGTCTTGTAAGTGTGATAGAAGAAAAAAGAAGAGTAATAGGCAAAATATTTCAATATTTTGCCTGGAGGAATGTAAATCTGCTTATAAAGGCTGCTAGAACTTGGTGATAGTACTAAGTAACTAGGCTTCTGGCATCAGAATCACCTGGCATGCTTATTAAAAGCTCAGATACCTGCCAATGTGCCATTCCCAGTCCCAACTAGAATTATTAGAGGTGATTCTTATGCATAGTAAAATTTAAAAACCACTGAAAATAAACACATTTACAGTAGCAAAACAAATTTTGTGGTGAACCTAATTACAGTTGTGCATAATCAATAAGAAAAGAAAAGCTACAAAATGATTAGTAAATAAGATATTTTCAAAGTTTCATGTAAATATGTTAAGACCTCTTGATTTCTAAAAGAGTAAGTTTACATGTCAGCATTCACCAAGATAAATTGAAATTTTTGTATCCGTAAGCAAATCTCAGCATAATAAAAATTTTCCTTCAGAGTAACAGGTGATTGTAAATATTAAGGCAGGAGCATTGGAATATACCCTGTCTTGTCATGCATTATCACATAAATTGGCACATTGGAAGCATTTTCAAGGAGCCTGGATTTGATAGACCAGCCGTCATAGATGACTTACTCAAGGCAGTACACATATACCAGCTCTTCACAGTCTTTGCTCAACTTCGGATTTGGCAGTTGACTTACATGGTCATCAATGGTTAGTTGTAATATTTTTACCACCCTATTTTTTCCATTGTCCTTTTTACTGAATTTATGCAGTTAAATATTATGAAGCCAATAAAATGAGCATTAAAATGTCTATAAAAATTTGATTAAAAAATCATTGAAGATGTTGTTCCTAAAAAGTTGACTGTCAAATTAGGGTAAGGTTTCTGTATTTGGATTGCAAGTGTCCATAACATCTCACTTTCACTTTAAAAAAAAGGGAAAGGCAGCCCTGGCCAGTTTGGCTCAGCGGTTAGAATGTCAGCCTGTGGTCCGGAGAGACCTGGGTTCGGTTCTCGCCAAGGGCATATATCTCGGTTGCAGTTTGTCCCTGGCCCTGGTTGGGTCGTGCAGGTGGCAGCCACTTGATGTGTCCCTTTCACGTTGATGTTTCTCTCTCTTCCTCTCTCTCCTTCCTACTCTATCTGAACAAAAAATGGGAAAATGTCCTCGGGTAATGATTAAAAAAGAAAAAAAGGGGGGAAAGGCAGATAAAGGTTTAAGAGGTTATTTATGTGAAAGAATTACAGGAAACCCCTCTTGATGGGGCCCTGCATAACTGACCAGTGAATGGCAATACCTTCCTACGATAAATTAACTTTGTGAAGTACATATACATTTTCTAAGTCCTTGCTTTGATCCACTATGTTAAACTACCACTAATTGTATTGGCCTAAAGAGGTTTATTATAATAATGAAAAAATGCCTATGATTCAGATGTGAAATTGAAACATATATCAGTAAAACAGACTGAAGCTCACGAAAAGACACACTGTGAAAGTATGGTGTGTGAAGGAGGCACGGAACAAGGGGGACAGCGGACAAAGGGTCTTTGAAGTTTAGTGGGACCATGAGCACATTTAGACGTCTTTTTGCATTATGATGCTGCCCTCTCCTAGCTATCCCTTTGGGTAAGTTACTTGATATCTTGAGTTTCAAATTTTTTATTAGTAAAATGAAATTATATAACTTTATAGAAGTTTTTATGGAAATAAAACAAAAGAATTCATGTGAGTGCAGCTAGCATAGTACTTAGCAATCAGTAGGTACTTGGTCTCTTCCATTTTTATGGTGCTGGGAGATTTTGGTAGAAAATTAAGTCCACATTTCTTAACAAAATAAATGCAAGTCAGGAAGGAGGTAAAGCAGATGGGGGCATAGGTCTTAGACAGATGGCAGCCCTGTAAACTTTGAAATAACAACAACAAAAAATCAGAATGTAAGGCCTGCTTTGACCATATAAAGTTAAACTTTTATGGTAAGAGTTAAAAGTGGGGGGGAATGTAGACTAGTAAAAGTATTTTTGATAATGTTACAGTGATATTTAGATGGGTTATAAACATTAGGTCTTTAACAAATACATGGACTAAGCATGCATATAATGCACATAAAAGGTGGTAGCAAAGTATGTAGGGAGCTCTGACTTGGTGGCTCAATTGTTTGGTGGGTTGTCCTGTACACCAAAAAGTCGTGGGTTGATTTCTGGTTAGGGCACTTATCTAGCTTATAGGTTCCATCCTTGGTCAGGGCACAGGGGGCAACCGATCGGTGTGTCTCTCTCCTCTCTCTCTCATCAATAAACATATCCTTGGGTAAGGATTTTAAAAAGGTATGTAGGGAAACAAGTTCACCTTCTGTGTCAAGAAGATCACTTTTCTCATTAGTAATTTCTATCTAGTTTGAGAAATTAAGAGTCAACCTAGTATCGGCCTCGGTTGCCGCGAGCATGGTAACCTAGCGCTCGCTGTGAAAGAGGTGCCTGGCAAGTTTTCA